CTCTTCCTTAAACAATTAATATTCTGCGGTACGAGACTTTGTGTGTGTGCATTTCTGCAATAATATTATGCATAATCAAATCACAGCTATGGACATTAAAGCTAAACTGAGTCTTGATTTTAGGTGCTTTGCGGTGTCAAACTTTGGACACCTTTGAGAAATCTGATTTTCAGAGAGTAAGTGCTTAAAACTTCTTTCAAAACCACATCTTCTTAAAATTGCAGACCCAGCCTGTAAGTGCTAATGGTCACTTCTGAAGTCTCGCCAGCGTACCCAGTCCTACCCCAGCAGATCAGCCCCCCCAGACCAAGAGCCCTGCGCTCAGGGATTTTTTGTAGCTGCTCTTATTTAACATGATCTGTTCACTGGGGCTCAGAGCAATGAAACCCAGTAAATAATACATTGCACAAACAGAGAAGATAACAAAAGGAAATAGTTAAGGTACTATAATAATTTTAGCCATTCTTTTTTCAGGTCACTATAATCTGCCCAAAGATAACTAATTGTTCAAAGTAAACATTCCACTCCGACCACAAAAGGAATCCATTACACAAACATATAATTCACAGTCATTTTTAGTGGGTTGTAAACAGTTTGGAATGAGCATAAAATGGGACAAAAATCAAAGTGAGCATTTAGAAATGAAAAAGCGTTTGCTACAAAAGGTCAGTCCCTTTACTTGGCAAACTATGTAGAAAAGCCTGGGAAAATGTTGAACACACAAGCAGTAAGGGAATTTTAAAGCCAACAACCTCCCTGTTTCTTTAAACAGACATCGGAACCTATAACTGGATCCTGTCAAACAAACGACAGCAAAAAAACATAACAGCTGCTAAGAAGTAAAGTTGAAAGATAAAGTTTTCTAAGCTAAGAACCTTCTCAGAAGTGGACTAAAGGTCTTTCTTAAATCTTTAAGCAAGGTTATGGATCCCAGGGTGGCTTTTAGGCATTGAATCAAATATGTAATTTTGTGTATCATTCCTGTCAGAGCATCCTGTGCTCCAAGAAAAGCAACAGAAAACAATGTCTGCAATGTCCAGTTTAGAATGGAAACAGTACCTGTAATCATCAGCTTTGCTGTCTGCAGTGTCATTTTTCAAGTCATTTAGGCTGATTTGAGAACACTAACTTGGATTTGGGAATGGAGGGAGAAAATGAAGGATGTTTCAAAAGAGAGATGAAAGTTAAATTATATTTCCCTGGAGCATTAGTACTGTATTTCTTTACGAAACCTAAACTACACTGGATACCCTCGATAGGTTTAGGATGCTGACTGCTCGGGGTGTTCATTTACTCTGTCATTAGACACACAGACAAATGATCACCCCTGGAAAAGACTTTAGTATCAGACTATTTTCACACAATAAAACATTACTATGAGAAGTACTGGATGGCATTTTGTTTAGGTGCAATGCAGACTGATTTTTTTTTTTTTTTTATGAGTTCTACTCATGCTTTTCACATATTCAAAAAGAAAAACACAATGCAGAAAAACAGCCAGGACTTTTAAAGGGTCGTGGATAACAAAATAAATAGGCAACTCAAGAAATGACTGGAAATAATATCTGACCTAGAAACACCAAAAATCTTGCAATGGGCCCCACCCTTGGCAAGAGTGCACAGCATGTGAGTTATAGTACACTGGGAGGATTGTCCCAGGCATTCCTTGCGGCAGTGCTCAGCTCGGGGTTGAGACTTTCCGGGGACAAGAAAAAGCATGGAATACAGATTGAAGAAGTAAGGTCAACAGATAGCCCCACAAAAGCCTGAGGTACATCCAAGGTAGGTATTGATGGCAAAGTAAAAGACTACACGGAAAAAACAAGGAATAAGTTGTTCCATGAAAAACTTTCCCTCTGCGTCCCTGAGAAAGTAGAAAGTTAAGAAATGTTAGAAAAGTTTGAGTAGCCGCTGTACTTCCTCAATCTGATCATTGCATGGTTTAGAATTATTCTCTTATCCTTACTAGGTCACATCATATACACAGGAGGTTTTTTCTATTTAGGATATTGCATTAGATACTGAGGGTGTCACACTCTTTGACTAGATACTATTGGCTTCAGTGGCACAGATCTGTATAGCTAAATACACGGGACAAGAAGTTCATCAAAAATTATGAATGAGTAAATAATACAAGAAGAATGAAGAAAAAAAACCTGAGCTTGATTAAAAAAAAAAAAAAATAGAAAAAGAAATGTGACAATTGTCTTGCAAGTTTACAAGAACAGGCACATTTTTATTGACTCTATTAAACTCCACTACCAGCTCTGGAAGATGGCTGAGTAAATATAGAAAGACCCTCTGATTCCCAGTCTTATTTCAATAGCTTCAAATAGCAAAAAAAGCTGAAAAAAATTGAATTCAATCTTGAACAAGTGAATCCTTGTCGTATAGATAAGTATGAATTATGGTGTGAGAATTTTTAGACCAAACCTTATAAAGCACCTCTGTCCTGAAATAGTGAATAAGGAAACAGTAGCCTGTGGGATAAATGACCAAAATCTGATCTAAGTTGCAGGAAAATAATTTCAGAATATTTCCTTTGATTTCAGTGTAGATATTCATTTAAAAATACTGCAACTAAACAGGAAATCTTGCCAACAGTTAATGACACCCTCTACATTTTTAATCTGTGGAAGAATATTACTACAGTTGGCTATTGTATGTAACCTCATCTACACAGGAAAATGTACTAATTAATATGGTTTATTCAGATCACTGCTAGACTTTCTTTCTGAGCACAGCGATAATGTTTAAAAAATCAGAAAAACAAATAGAAAATCGGTAAGTAAGTAATAATTAAAACCCTGAGCTGATAAATAAGAACACAACCGTTCAGCAAAGTATGAATGTTTTGTAAGCAACATTTAGGGTTAGTCTCCTGAAGCCTGTTTTCATAATAATCCTTTATCTTAAACGAAGCATGCAAGTAACATTTTTGGTACAGTTACAGTATGTAGATGATATATTTTCTAAATAGGAAAAAAAGCTTTTCTACCACAGCCAATATGCCAGCTGTACAGAGTATCTAGGCCATCTTACTAAGACTATGAAAGTAAACATACAGTTTTCATTAAATGTGCCTTTCCCATAATTGGTACATAAGTATTTCCCATGACTCTGCAGTTGAGTATCTTGGCTGGAGGCATATCTGGCCATTAAGAGGAGGGCTTCAGATCTGTTGAGTCTCAGCCATGCCGGGAGACTTGGCACCTCCACATACTGCTTCCTAATACCAACCCTGGTATAAAATGTCATCAGAAGCTTGCATAAACATTGGACTTAGCTTCACATAAATTACTGCTGTCCTGAGATAGTTTATGCCAGAACTTAGTAAAAACAACACTTTGAGTAAATAGAATGTGAGTAAATGCAAGCATCTTAATCCAAGAACATGATAATAGAAAAATGGTATATCAAATATAAACTCATAAATACAGTGATAAAATTAAATTTTTATCTCATGCCATATGATTAGCTTTTATTTACATATTAGACTAACTAAAAGGGATAGACTTCTCTAAGTCACAGCAAGTTTGAAGGAAACAGAAGAACAATGATGCAGTATTCCAAAGGATGAAGTCCTTCGAAGAAACAGTGATATTTTCATTTTCTTCCATGAACATTTCTCTGATAATCACACAGTCAATAAACATCTAATTACATTTCTTGGATTTTTCTATTACAGTTCAGCAGTGCAGAGACCTCTGGCCTCAATTCTCCTGGAGGACTGGTCAGATATCACAAAACATCTATGAAATATCTAGTGCATCTTTTGGAGAACCTGTGCTAAGATTGTAACCAAACAGTCAGTTAGACATGTTCTGCATGGCGTGGCATTTTTATAATCTAATCTCTGACTTTCCTTTTCACGTTCTGAATTTCTCCTCGCAATTCCGCCTCTATTAATAGCCACTTCACATGTTTCTCCCCTTTCTTTGTCTCTTTCTTTACCCAGTTTCCAGCCTTCCTCCAAAAAACCAATGCTACTATCTCCCCCTACTGAACGATCTCCAGTTTGTTAGTCTCTGACTTCCTGCCAATCATTCTGGGAATAATAATATCCCAGTGTTCTCTTTGCTGTATAATTAAAGCATGAATTTCCTAGAGTTTGAAAGTCCAGGGTAGTTTTATTGCACCTTTCACTATAAAACCAGGTAACAATGATGGAATTAAAATAGCTTTTTCCTTTGTGGTTAACGGTCTAAGTATCTTTTTATTTTTCATTGTTCTGAGACTCCAGTATATGGCAGTGACAATGGGTTCACCCAGCCTTATTCTGAAAATAAATTTTCTATCTTTTGCAAGATATATGTTTCCCCAGATCCCTGGAACAAGTTGTAAACTTGTAACAGATGGTGATGAAGCCTCACATTTTTATACAATACATTTTAAGATTCTGCATCTACCGCATGTACCTTCCAAAGAAAATGACCTTCAATGAGAGAAGATACACTCTGCAGAAAGGAAGGCAGGCAACGGTGTTAAATACATCTTTTTTATACTATGAAAATCCTTCTCATTAATCAAAACTTTTAATGAGGATGAATACTCATTCCAATATTCTTACAATATTATGGCATTTAAAAATAACTGTAAAAATTAGACACCTGCACACAGTAAAAAAATATGATCACGCTAGAATAACACTTATTTTGGTTGAATACAGTTCAGGACTTAGGAAAAAGTATTGGCATTACACTCACCAGAGTCTTCAGAATTAAAGTTACTGACATTTTATTGATGTTTAGCATTTGCTTACCCAGAGAAAGACTAAAACAACATGTCAAACAAAATATAAGGAATAATCGGCATGAATGGGTTCTATTAGTGTCTTATCACATAAAGAAAATGAAGATACAGAATGTGATATATTTCAGTTCATAACTATATTATAAATTGAACTGCCTGCCTACCTTGGCAATTCAAGCAAAGTTAGAAGGTTAAAGTTCTGATTACTAATAGAGAAAAAAATTAGTATTAAATGTTAAGGAACTCACCTCTTTTTTCAACAGCTTTTATACATAGTCTTACAAACTGTGGGACTGTAGATTTCTCATGCTCACAAACCAAGTGCAAATGGGAGCCAAAAATTTGATCTGCATGTGAAAAAAAGAGGAAGATACATTAAAGCATAAATTATTAGTAGTGGGATTTTTCTCTCTTCTGAGCTTGAATATTAATTAAAAATTCAGCTATCAAAGATGGACAGACAAAGTTTTAAACAAATCCTTTCTGGTTTCTATGGTCATTAACTTCTGCCACAGAACCAAATCTCTTGATATCTGCTGCCTGTAGCACTTGGCTACTTCCTCCTGAGTTCAAGTTTCAATTGCTATTTACACCTTGACTTTGACCTTTATGAGGCCTGAATGTCTCTGGAGTTTGCTTGGACCTGTCATAAAAAAAGTGAAGGTTATTCTAGAGATACATCTCTATATCTTGTTGAATCCAAAATCCTACATGATATTAACTGTTGGTCCAACCTTGAAACTCATATTGTTCAGTAGCTTGTCCCATCCAGACATACAGAGTTTCACTCTTGCCATACAGTACTGCAGGGGTGCAAGGGCTTCATTACTTTGCATCATTAGGACATAAGACAATGTCATCTCACCTTTACAAGAGGTTTCTTTAATCATCAAATTACCTGTTTTAAAAATATAAACTAGTAGATGTCTTTTGATGAGGACTGAATCTTACACCAAGTTTAACTTGTAATTTGTGTTGCTTCTTTGGTGAATATGAATAATCATTTAACTAGATAACCTCTTATCTTTTATGATTTTAAAGTTCTGAAAAACTTTGAATGTTGATCTTAAAACATATTTGTACAAAGAGGTTAAACTCCTCAGATTACTGATTAGCTTCCTGAACCTTATTTCTACTCTGTACATTTGAGAAATTATGAAAAGAGTAATCAGTAATGGGGATGTTGTCAGGTAGAATCAAAATGAATCAAACAGATGGGAGAAACTACTCAATAGGAGCCAGTTAAATGCTTAAACAATAGGAGTGTACTATCATCATTTATCCGAAGAGACAGTCTCCATATAGCATTTCAACTACATTTTGGAAATTGGCGTAAAGGCTCTGAAAATTTTTATATAGATAACAGGATGGCACTAGCAGAAGGCCAGGCTCTGCACAGAAAACCCAACAAGCATGATGACTTGCAGAGGAACAGGAGCTCCTGCTGTCCTCTACAGCTCCCATGGCCCTGCATATTTCCTCCACGGTCAGTCCCACCATCTTCCACCATGATCAGTCTGAGTGCTTCTCCCTCCAAGCAGCACACCTTTTTCTCACTAACAGGCAAACCTCCATCTGTTTATTTTTTGCTTTGCAAGGAGCTTCGTTTTCCTATTGTCAATCACTACTATGTCTTACTAAGCTTAGATTTCAAGAGCAACCCAATTGCCTTTTCTTTCCTATTACCCCAGAGTAAGGAACAATCAGGGAAACAAGGCAGTGTGCATGGGATGGTTTGGACTTCTTGATAGGTGTCAGGGAAGTTTATTCCAGCACCTCCCAATACATGTGATCTGCATTCTGGTAGAGTACATCAAAGCCTGAATTTAAGTTAATCGGAGTTTCGGCTGCAGAAGGGATGGAGGACTGGGTTCACAGAACTACACGGAAGAAGGTTGTGTGCATGTGTGGCGTTAAGCATTAGCGAACAGTCTGTTACATGTTTTGGGGTTATGTTTCTGACAAAGCACAGTCTGGTTACATTTTCTTCATAAAACATTTATAGCTGCCTTCAGTGGTAATTATATATACAGAGATTTATGATTAAAATGTACTAGCACTTCCTCTTTTGACATCTTAATTGTTTTTTAAAATTTTAGCAAAGACCTGTCAAATTCTTTGCATAATATGGAATGGTCTCCAATGTAAATTATTTTAAAAAGAAGTAAAAATGTATCTTATTTGGTGGACAGACACTTGTAAACAGTTTCAGAAGTAAAACAGGCAAAGAAGTGCACTGTTTAGATGGCAATACATGAAGAACTGAAACAAAATTAATTCATGAATTCTCAACAGCTTCTCTTCTCTACTATGACCAGTTTATAACAAACTTCCAGGATTATTTTGCAGTTACTCTTTCAGTCCCCAGTACAAATGCAGAAAACTTGGTATTCCTGGGAAGAAATGTTTAAAAGGCTGGAAACTGTTATGTAATTTTCACCTAGTCCATTACTTCTTTTCTGGGTGCAGATTCTGTATCTTCTCTAGCAAACTGTTTAACCTTATTTTATGTACCTTTCAGTATAAGGATATAGTCACATTCTGTATCCTGCAGTTAAGCTTCAAAACACCTCTTCTTTAGAATATAGGTACTCAGGACTTTCGTCTTGAATGGAAGGGGCAGAAAAGCATCAGTATTTGCTGGGCATCAAAAGAGACTATGGTACAACAACAACACACAACTGCTTTGGATTTTTTTTTTTTCTCCTTCTAGAAATTCATGTGTATGTGTAAGTACCTGATTTCATGAGTCATACAGATACTGTGAATTCTGGGTACTCCTGAACCACAAACTCTGTGACTTAATCTAGTCGATTGATTTCTTGCTGGTTCTGTTTCTGTACATAAACATGGGAATGGTGGTAGTCACACTGCCATATTTACACTATTAGAGGTCACAGGAATAGTTGAGGAAAACTCAGTCAAGAGTCATTTGTGCAGTATTTTGAAAACAAGGAATTATAGACATGGCAAATTACTAGCTTTTGTAAGCTAGATTTATGTGTAACTAAGATTAAGATATTATTTTCTTGTTCTTTTATAGGTGTGTATACATATTTTGAAAATAATTTAAGGGGAATCTATCCAGGACATTTTTGCAAAAAAATACGAATTGTTCCCAAAGGGAGAAGCAAAAAAGCCTTTGTTTGATTTATTTGTGATAAGGCCCTTCAAAACTTCATTTTTTATGACTTGGGAAAAAAAAAAAAAAAAAGATGTACACAACACTCCTAGCCTCCTGTTATGACAGTTTATGTTTCCTATCCAGCTTATTTAACTCAAATGCCTGGGAAATAGACACAATTACCACCTTATGGAATGCTACTTAACTTTAAATGCTCCCCTCTGAATAGAAATCCACTTTATCTTCTCAGAGTTATTCCAGTTTCTCAGGAATTATTTCCTCTATAGGCTCCTGAAATGCTCTTGTTTCATCATTTAAAAATTTAAACTAACAATTGTTCAGAAATATCTTTTATTAGAACAAAGGCAATTCCCATACAGTGGATTCTGTTCACAAGAGCTTGTACAAAGGAGCTGCATACTATGCCCATATACAGCTTTAATCATTCACTCTTTCAGCTGTTATCAATTTAAAACCAATGAAACTCCCACACTGAGTCCATTTGAGCAGTCAATTTTAATATCTTGGGGCATCTGTAGTTATTCTGAATTGGCTGCAAAAGCAGAACTAACAAGTTAAGCTCTAACCATAAGTCTACATCAGGCTGGTAAACCATACATCAAACACAGACAGTTAGTCAATACTGTAGTATGAAAAACCAACAAGCATTTTTAAGAAGAGCAATATATTCATAATATGTTTGGTGGTATGGTTTACATTACACATCCCTGATATCTGCACATTAAACTTTCTATTTAAGATGGTGGGGTGTGTGACGGCTTCGCACATGGATATAAAATGAGACACCAGAAGAGGAGGGAATGGACATTCACAAGTTGTATAACATAAAATGATGATTACAGCTGCAATGAATTGCTCGTTCTGGGGAGCTTCAAGTTTTCCCTGAGCCTGACAGAGCTACTTTTTTTTTTGAGTAGCTCTTGCAGGCTGCAGCAAAGCCACTAATTCTGAGCTGCAGAAATCTAGTCTATGGGAGACAATACTTTTGGAAGAGAAACAATTAAACCAAAATCACTAAAGCCACATCCTCACTGAGAATGTCATTGTTTAACTGTTCTTGGTGTACATGGATGAGATGTGGCCACACTTGGAAGGAACTCATACTTCAGTGTTTTTTATTAAAAAAGCAGGGAAGGGCATGGCTAATATTGCCATTTCTCAGGGAGAAGTTCAAGTTCTGACACAAGAGGAGAAGGTATAATGGTGTAGTGTCCGAGTTTTTAGAAACACAAATTATATCTGTGCAGTTCAGTGCCTTCCAGGAACAGAGTTAACTGCTGCATCTGGATTTGAACTGCTGGACTACTAGAGCTTTGTATCAACATCTAAATTGTTTGTTTTATTTGCATCTTTTTGAATGTTGGGAAGGAAAAAGGGTAACGAGAACAAAAGGCAAAATAAGAGAGGAATGTACAGAGTGAGGGACATAACAGTAGACATCACAGCAGTGAATTGTTTGGAGGGGGAAGGGATATGGTTGGAAAGGGCCATATTCTGAAAGGTGACTTCGTCTAGCTGCTCCATCTGTAGAGTTAGACATATTAAGTCAGACATTAAAATGATGCTCATCACAGACAGAGGCTCCAAATAATGCCACAATGCTTTTACAATAAGTGGGCCAGGTCCTCAGCTGACTGAAGTCAGCAAGGTTGTCAATGGAGCCCTCCTGATTTATGCTAGCTGGGAATATTGCCAGTCCTTTTAACTTGGAGATTTACTATATATCGTTGATCTGTGATGGTCATCAATTTAAAAAAAAAAATTACATTTCTGAACAGTTACTATTAAGTGGCATATGAGCTGCCAGATTTGTTTCACATTCTCAGAAAAAGGGAAAAGAGAGAGCCCTGTAGACACTGGACTCTTCTAAGAAATGATGGTGTTTTACTAGGGACAAGAGCTCATTTGAATTTAAAGACAGTGAGTCTGCTGTACTCCTCAAAACAGATCTCCAAAAATGAGATATTTTAAAATTATCTGAATTATTTCTGACTATCATGTCAAAGGAAATAATCAATTTGTCCAGTGTTTGGCCATACACAGGGGTTGTTAATTGTACTTCCAAATGTCCACACAGTGGTCAAAGAAAGAAATAAATACTCTTTTGACCCACTGACCATGCAAATCAAAGGCAACATTTCCTCTAAGCTATTATGGGCACCAGATCGCTTGCTAAATTCCTGCATAACCCAGAAGAATTGCAGAACACACCAAAGGTAGGTCTTGATCTACTCTTTTGGACTTTTCATGACCATTACACTCATTACATTAAACTACTCCAAGGTCCATTGAGACCTATGAAACAACAAAGATGTTTTCCCTTGTCTGGAAATAAAATGGTTGGTGATCTCTGTGCTGCTATCTGCACAACCACCAACATATGCTGAGCCCTGTTCTATAGGCTATCAAGCCAAAGCACAGCTAGTTCCTTTCACTAGCAATTGAGTGGCTTTTATTTTAATCTTGAAACAGTTGTAACCATTCCAATTTTTATGCTGTTTTGGGTTTTGCCCTAACTTAACTTATGAAATAAATTCAATGAAGTTCCTTTGGTGTCTAGCTTTTGAGAAAAAAAAAAGCCACCCCCAAAAAACCCAGATTAATTTCTTGCCAGATGCATAGCTGCATTTTCCTCATTTCCCACAGTGTCATTTATGTTATTGTTACTCATTTTTTTTTTACCATTTACTGAAAGTGTATTTTGTGAGTCTATTACCAACACAACCACCATAGCTTTAAAATCAGCGTTTCATAGAAGCATTTTTTTTGTGGACAAGAAAGGCTCAGAAATCAGGAAATTAGCAGGCCAATATCAAGTTGAAGGTTGGCAATTCATTTTGGGTAATATTAAATCATGACAAAGCTCAAACATAAAGATCAAAGTTCAATGATAGACGATAAAGTAGTTTTAAAAGAGAAGATTTATATATTATTTTTCTAGCATATTAGTGCAGATTCTGTAAATTCTGAGAATATTTCAATCCCGAGGAACTGAGGACCCCTGCCCTAGCATATAAATTTGAACTGTTATTCTCAAAATAATACTGTAAAATGGCAGACATGGAACGTGCCTCTTCTTTACTATTTCTAGGTTTGAATGCATGCATGGATATATATGAATGTAAGTGTGCATATAGACACACACAGACTATGCAAAAATGCTATATTGTACATCTCAAAAATGGTTCAAAATGCTTCTAAAGCAAAGATATTTTGTGTAAGCATGAGTGAGGTGGAATGAGGAGGACTGACAATCTTAATTAAGCTCTCACTAGAATACAAAAAACCCATCACAATGAATGGAGCCAATGTGCTGTTCCCATTTTGGCTTCTTTTACGCAAAGGACTAGAAAGCAAGTGGGACAGCGATGACAAAAATAACTTTTTGTCATGTAAAGCATTGGCGCGTCTTCATTTTCAAATCAACATCCAACTAAAATTTACATGTTAGTCTGCTACATTCCCTTGTCTGATTATTATCCTCCTACTTCTTATTCTTCTCATTTGTCACCTACTTTATTTACTACATAGATATTTGCTATATACTTCATGAACAAAGTTTTGTTAAGAGTTAAATGACAATCACATAATTTCTAGATTTTCTGATAACAGTGTTGGCAGAACAAAGTACCCCAGGAGATCAAACTGCTATTTAATTTTGAAGCCTGTATTCCCAAATTTGGTTAATGCAGAGAAATGTGTCGAGCCTTCTGGCCAAGGGTGTACACATCAGTGACTAACAGAGCACAGAACTGTGTTTAAGTGAACTTACCACCTTAAAATGTATTTACTCATGACTATAATTTACGTGTTAAATTTATTGGAGTTTTGGTTCCAATGTGACATACAATGTAAAAAATCAATATAGATTTGAGAGCTTTATAGTGCCCCTGGCAAATATGAATAGCACTTGATGAAAAGTGAAGGTTTTCACAGTACCTACAGTGCCACTGCATTGGAGTAATTAACACCACACGCTTCACAGATATTTATATCAATTCTTCACTAGCACACAGAACAGCTCTTTGTCAGAAATTCGGTACCAAGATGTCCTGCAAGGCTTTAGACACACTTTTATTACGAGCCCCTATTTTAAGGGATTTACAATTCTGACAGAAGTATTTCCCTATGGGATAAAAGTTAGCATGCATGTTCTCAGAGCTGGAGGAATTTTTTCTTGTAAAAATTGGTTAACATTTTTTCCCTTAAGAAACGAGCAAAAAAATAGTTTTGAGAGGTTTCTGCAACCATTTAAGTCACCTTTATAAAAATAAATAGATGCATCTTATAATACAAAAATTTGGCAAGCTTTTCATTTTTAATCTGGATGGTTGCATTTTGTGATTTAAAAATATTCTAATGTGAGCCTAAAAATTAACATTTAAAAGTGGTCTCTCTATAAGCACTGCAACTGCATTTTCATAACATTTTAACAGATTAAGGGATAAACTCTGGTGAAGACAATGAAGGAACCTTATCAAATGAGCATTTCACATAGACTTACTGTAGATTGGAATTAAGCCGTGCTAACGAATCCTGCCTCATTTGCATGGCCAAAACCTAATCCTAATGAAACTTCATGGTGGATAAATAACATGTTTTCCTCTTGGTAACAGTTTGGTAATAAAACTGTGCTGGGTACCGATTCTGAATTAGTGTGTCACAAATCATGTATTTTTCTTAGCTGTAAAAGACTATCCCAGGTAGAATCAAGCTATGTTTATGAATCAAGAGCTTAATGCAACCGTAGCCAAACCCAAATTCATCTGGCTTTCCTAGAGAGATATATTAGAGGATGGATTTGAGTTATGCTAATGAATCTGGATTTGTTAGCAGGGATCACATCTGATCCCTATGTAACACCACAGGAGATTCATCAGCCACACTTTATTAAACTAAAAAAAACCCCAACCCTTAAAACCAGAAATTAAAAGACTATAAATTACTACTCTATTACTGTAATAACTGAAACAAACTAATGTGATGCATTCAAATCCCACCCTCAACCCACAGAGTACTTCAAAGAGACTATGAATGCGTAAGGACAGATCCTGAAAGTTTGGTGTGTGAGTGTGCACATCTCACACATATATATTTATGTATAAATTGCTTTTTTTTCCCTAAGTTTCTGTGGCAGCTAGAAGCAGAATCCCATCACTAAGGCACATAATGATTTCATATAATGAAGACTTCCTTACAGTAAGCAACATTGCACTGAACATTTCTGCATGAATCTAAAACATAAGAACTTAATTCATAAAATCTTCTCTTCAGACATGGGCCCAGCTGGTGTTTAACTCTTGTGGCTGCTTTAGCTTTTGCTGGCTGGGGTCAATCTCTTGGCTCAGGACAGACAAGTTTAATACACACTAGAAACACCCCTTGCCATTTTTGACACACCACTGGAAAACTCACACTCCAGAGATTGACAGGGGCTGCTGGCAAAATGCCTCTTTCTAGTCAATTTGCATGTGCAGTTGTGGGTTTCACACATAATAATTTGGGAGTGCGTAAATTTTTAAAACATTATTCCAGACAATATTTGAAAACATGGCTTTGCTTGATTATTAGTGGTCAGAATGCTACTGCCTTCAAGTTAACTACCAGCTTCTTAACAAAACGCTTACTCCTTGGATAGACTAACACATTTTATCAAAGAAACAGTTTTTTAAGGATATGTGAAAGTGATGGCTGACCAACTTAGCAAGAAATTGGAGTAGGGAAAAAAAAAAATCACAGATTCAAAGCATTTATTATTCACTGGCATGTATTTTAAATTGTTAAAAATGTACTTTGTTGGCAAGTTAGAAAAATAATGAGAGGAGACAGCAGAAAGTATTCCAGCCTACCCCAGAAAACAAATTAGCACAGTATCTGAAGTTCCTATTTCAGATTCCAAAATATAAAACTATATCAACATGCTTTTCTTAAAAAGAAATGGAGTATGCAGCATGTTGATTTGAAATGTACATGGTGAGTACCTGTGTTAAATGGAGGGGCTTCTACCACATGCACACCAAAGCAGAAAAATGAAGCAGTAATCAGCACAGAGGTAGATGTAACACCATATGTTGAGTTTTTCTTTACAGTTCAGCAGTGCAAGTTTTAGGAGATATAACAACAAAACCATATCTAAGAAGTATTTGTCCAATGCACTTATTCATTTAACTGAGAATGAAAAACTAATTTGTGAATTTTTACTCCAGAAACATATCTATATAAGACCAAACACACCTTTAATAAGTCCCTTTTCTTGCAATGTTTTCAAGGAGGGTCTTCGGGAGATGAACTTCTTTAATCTGCTTTTAACACGGTTTCTGTCATTTGTGTCAGAAGCACTGTAGTTCAGTCTGAAAACTAAAGGAAATGAAAAGAAAAGGCTTCAGTGAAACAATATTTTTAAACTAAAAGTAGTTTGTTCAAATATCTTCAGAAAATAATAGCCATAGCTACCCCAGTAAAATCATGCGGTAGGTCATCAGTGTAGCTGGTTGGATAGTACAAAACATCTGATTAATACTTTTGTGAATAAACATGATGAGTTCACTGTGCTGCTTATTCACAGAGTTGTATTATTTATGGCCCATAAGTATTTGGATGGCGACCAGTTTACTCATGAAATGTTCATGAATCCCACAAGTTTCACATGGATGATTTTTCAGCTAAAACTCTGGACTTTAAGTGTGCTATGCACTATTAGCTATATACTACTTGTTATGAGAAAGGATGGATGGTTACACCACTAGCGAAGGACTGAATCCTCTTGCCAAGATGGATTAAACGTTATATATATATTTAATGCAGTTATAGAAAACATGGCTATATGCCATGAAATGTGTGCAAGATGCATTAATTTATGGAAAGAAAAGTATTCCTGTCCTAATGATTATATTTTATTATATTTAGGCATTTACCAAACTGAGAAACATTTTGAGCTCAATTTATTCCTGCTCTGTGTCAAAAAGACATAGAACCCAGATGCAGAAAATCCCCTGGAGGAAGTTTCAAAGACATAAATTTAACTTTTTCTCTGCTGAGGTGCTTACAGGTCACCATCATAGCTATCAAAATAAGCAGTATTTGTAGGAAGGAGAAACTCAGCATGATCCAGAAGCAGCAAGCGATGCCATGGGAAGATCTTCTCCAAAGGTTTCCTTAAACAAGCAGGTTTATTAAGTTCTCTAAGAAATCACCTGAGCCTCACCACCCTTGTCCCGTGTCCTGGGCTCTCTCACCCTGCCCATTCCCCCCAGATATTCCCCAGGAGTCTTCCCCAGCAAGGATCTCCAGCTGAGAGGGATGGCTTCTGCTTTCAGAGAAAAGAATAGCTTTCCATTTTCTCTTGAAAATCAATCAATCAATCAATCAATCAATCAATCAATCAATCAATCAATCAATACACCAAAACACAGTATTTTCTCCACAAGTTGATCTCACAGGAGTTGGCCCACTGTCCCTTCAACAGAATTTCTAAATAGTGCCTTAGATAATTATGTGCGGTTACAGAGATGCTCCCTAATCTCCCCATCCAGTTTGAATCTTCCCTATAATGCAGTGACCTTCGTGCAGAGGATCCAAGGGAAGAGAGAGAGCAAAAATAAAATTATGATCAATATTATTGGGCTATTTTTTAGCAAGAAGTTTTGCATGAGTTATAAACAGAACCAGAATGATTAAAGGTGCACAATTATAAAACAATGGCAAGCGAAAATAACTGGTTAAGCAACAGTAACAACCCTGGAATATTGTGGTTTACATTACAAATCTGATTTTAACAGCCAAACTTATAAAATGGTTTACGCTTTGCTGTTGTCAGGGGAGAAAAACTTGCCAAATTGTTCATTTTAAGTAAATAGAACATAGCCAATTAAGGAAAGCAATATTTAAACACATGCCTATGATGATCAGAGCATAGTTTGCTTCTGATTTCACTACTGATTTTAACAGAAGAGTGCTCCATTTTCCCACAGCACTAAAGTGACCCCACACATACTTCCACAAACTAGTAATCACACAGGACAAATAAAAGGACACTTTACTGGAAAATACACAGCTTGCTGCAATAATCCATCACTTATGAAAAATAGAATTCACATTTTTTAATGGTAGCATTCTTGGAGTGATGTATCATAGAATATAAAGATTAGCATTCAATTGATGGCTGGTGCTTTTTTAACATTATAGTGGAGGACTTTTTGTTCAAAATTGAGCAATCCTTGGCAGGGACAAGCTAAAATTCCAAGTCACTTGGCGGTGCTATAAAAAGAACAACAAATGGATGTTTCTAATTCTGCATCTTAATGGTACTTTGAAACAGTGAAGTGAATTGTATTTAGTTTGGGGAGTTTCTTGTTGCTTAGGGTTATTCTGTCCATAGCAATTCATATTTAGGTTTGCTTTTTCCTGACTTACAGTGAAGCTTCCCCAGTGCAAATGATGCAGGAGTGAAAAAATCCAAGTCACTTAAGATGCCTGCCACATTTCCCATTCTGTGGGACTCTGAAGCATTTTATGCCCACTTGAACTACATGCTTAGCTCTGAGTATACACCAGAATTGTTAAGATGTTCTAGCTGAAGTGAATATGGCCATACTGTGAATAATAGGATAGGGGATTGTCAGCAGGGTAAAGATCCCTCTTGTTTAGAAAGATGCATTAACCCCTCTCTAAGTTTTATACCTGAAACAGCAATTATGGTGTTGAAACTACATCTAGAGGTAGGAATAATTATTGTCTTGGATACTTTTGTATGTTCCATGTTGAGTTGTATAGCACATGGTTTAAAAGAGCAGTAAAGATAATTTTGATGAATTTCTTATTTTATTCTATTAAACATGTGTGAGTCACCAGAGGGAAACTCCAAGCCTCCCAGAAATTCAAGGGTTTAGATAGCAATGTTCCAAAACCAAGCTTAGCCAGAAATATTCTTGTTGGGATCTCATTTAGAAATATTCCTCCTCTTGCCAAACCATTCTTCTTGCGATATAGCTACATTAATATGGCTTTTCTATTATATTTGGAAATACAAAGAGGACCAAATGTTACTTCCAAAAGAAAACAAAAAAAGTTGTTATAAAACTCAAAAACCACAATAAATATTTTTTGGAGTATCTTCCTTTTTAAATTTCAGGTTCAGAAGAATCCTCCATGAAAGAGAACTGGCAAATGTCAAAAAAGTGAAAAAATGGAAAACATTTCCATACAGAAGTGAAATAGGACACTTAAGGACCTAAGGATAAAATAATAAGAAATAAAATCTACCACTTGTTCTACAGTATGTTCCCTGGCATAAACTACATAGGTGTGCCATTTGATTCACTGTATTGAATAAACTCATATTCTCAATTTCTGAAGCTACTCACATTTATATAGCTACATAAATGTTTGAAAAACAACACAGAACAGAAGGATAATTCCCCTCCCTTTGCACAGACTCTTCAATTAAGTATTTCTTGTATTGCACCAAGAGTTTCAGAGACAGAAAAAGGAAACACGTGCTTGCTCTTGTTGGGCCAGGGCCTTTTATAGTGCATGTAGTGGGGAAGCCAACAGAGTCCAATATTACATTAATCTTTTTTGTTAATGCAAATGGGTGCCAGGACACTTAAATCCAGCAGCAAAAACATATCCTGAATACTGACCGGCTTTCACATTTAGCTGTAAATGAAGTAGGACCCTCAGATGTAGAAAAGCATTTCTGATTACTTTGGTCAATTTATGAGATCTCTATTTATTCCACAGGTGGGAAAGGTATGAAGGGACAAATGAAAAAAAATGGCAGGATCTTTTCTTCAGATAATTTGTTCTAGAATTAATATACATTAAATCACAACATCTTATCACATTAGGGAAGTGTAATACAGATTGAGTACAAAAAGAAAATAGTATAAACACATCATTTGGCATAAAATAAAGAGCACACCTTTGTCCTTAATGTTGTATAGAACTGTAATAACATCAGCTGAATTAGGAAGGATAAATATAGGCTAAATTATCTGAGAAAAAAAAAAAAATGCATCAAGAAAAAATTGAACTGTCTCTTTTTGGGCCTGTATAAATCCTCTGAATACTTATTCAATGCTAAAACTCTAGCCTTAATATTTCTAATAATATAGAAGTAACAGGAGTATGATGTAAACCCACAAAATAAAGTCTATACGGAAGTTTTTACACAAGATGACAGGTGGAAGGAAAGAATTAATGCATTACCTTCAAATCTCACAGTTCTGCAAAAATAGTACCATTAGAGCAAATGGAAATTTTGAGATGTACAGATGAAGAATTATTTGCTATAATTTAATGCACTGAATTGTATGTATGATGCAATGCGAGTAAACATTTTAAAATTTAAATATTATTAAGCAGTAGCTAATATATTTTCAATGTGGAGTTACAAAAGCCTTTCTCCAGGGTTTTAGCATGACCACAACTAAAAGAACCAGGTAAGGCTCTAATCTTTTCAGGGCAAGGATCAAAACTTTTATGTGATTACTTTCTCTGAATTTAATCATGTACCTAGACAATATGTTTCTAGCAGACTGTTTTTCCTTGGTGTGATGTTCTGGGCAGAGCCTGAATGATTCAGAAAGTAAAATGTTTTAATATGTTCTAAACAGCTCCATATTTTATTGGCAAGATTTTGTAACTCCATATAACATGATCTCACATTCCTTCCAAAGACTTTTATTTCACTCTTAATTTAGAAAACATTTATACATAATCCCAAGGGTTTACCTATGATTAATTCCTGCCAGGTACAGTATATCTGAACACTTCTAACATGTTGAAAGCATTGGTTTTTGAAGAACTATCCATTAATGGCTTTCTGAACTGTGACAATGGATATTGACAGTGCTTGTCAGACTAAAGCACTATTGATTGTCTCACATCATGTGTATTGCAAAACCAATTTCTTCCAAGTACCTCTTCCTAACTGAAATACATTATTATGATGCCTATCTGTTTATTATAACACCCAAAATTATTGTATGCAATTAATTTGGATGGAAAGGGATCATACAGAATGAAGGGCAGCAGTGGGAGTGAATAAGGCATTAAGTGATTCAAATAGCTTTACATTAGTACCTTCTTTTTGAATTTGTGATTTTTTTTTTTTAATATTCTTGAGGACTTCAAAATTTCAGGAAGTTCTTAGAAATGAAGATGACTTGAAGCATAATGATAACACCCATAAATATTTCCTTTTCCCGAGGAATAATAGAAGTGACAATCTTGACCATTCAAAATATAGAATACATTGATCAAAATCCTAGCTGCAACTTTCTTAAAATACATATGAATACATCCATGGACTTAACTATGATCTCTGATGTCTTAAACTAATAGTTTTCTTAAGT